ACTAGAAAGGCAATATGTCAATCAATGGAAGGGTAACTGATGTGATACAGCAATCTGTATACGGGGTAAAGTTGGGAGTTCATAACCCGCTTGAATCAAACTGTGAAATATGATGTATTAAGAACTGTGTAATGTTTTGAACGACCAACAATAAAAAATAAAAGAAAAGAAAATACCCTGTTTTTCCTGAATCAGAGTCAATAATGCTGTACCTCTCCCATTCAAAATAATAGATGACTATGTATATTAAGCTGAAATCCCTCACACTGTGTCCTGGAGATATGAATTATGCAGTTCCATCTTCCATAAGGGGGAAGCAGAGATATGCTTGACATGAGGTAGAAAAGGAAAGTTAATGTGACAATGGAGACAGAAATTGTAGTGATGTACTACAGCCAAGGAATGCCAGCAACCCTCAGAAACTAGAAGAGATGAGGAATGGATTCTCCTTAGAGCCTCCAGAGAGAGGGAGGGCCTACTTACCTTGTTTTTGAGCCCAGTAAATTGAATTCAGATTTTTGAAAGTATGAAAGGATAAATTTCTGTTGATAATTTGTTGTAGCATTCATAAGAGGCAAATACCAGCCTTTTAGTAAATTTTTCATTTCGGTTACTCTACTTTACACCACCCCAGAATTATTATTTTTATTTTTTTCTATAATTCCTGTCTCTTTGTTGATCATTTCTATTTGGTGAGATTTTTTTTAGATGTCCAGCAACAGATGAATAATGGATAAAGAAAATATGATATATAAATATTTACTGAGATTTTACTGTATTTTCTTTTTAGTTCTTTGGACATGGTTTCTTTTAATTCTTTAAATGCATTATAAATAGCTAATTTAAGTGTTTGTATAGTAATTCCAGTGCCTTTGCTGCCTCAGGTAAGTATCGGTTGCTTTTCTTCCTGAGTATTGTTTCTTTACATATCTTATAACTATTTATTGAAAACAGGCCATTTTGTGGAAATTCTGAAGATTATACTCCCCTTCTTCCTGAGATTGTTGTTGTTGCTTTTTTTTAAAAATAGGTTTTTATTATATGCAATTGTAGGGATATCTTCTTGCTTAGCTTAACAAGATTATTGTACTATCATTTGTAACTAATTAAAACAAATTAAAAAATTTAAAAAAAGATCAGCTAATAATTAGAAAGGGATTTTCTTAAATTCTTAGACCACTGTCTTCCAGTATTGCTGGGCTTCTGTGTTCATGAGCAGTTGACTAATTTGCTTTAACCTTTACTTCCACTTGCATAGGGCCTAACAAAAAAACAGAGTTGAAAGGGTGTTCTTGCTCTTTCCTCAGCATGCATTTAATTCTCGTATATCAGATTGTTAGGGAAGCCATAACAAAGTATCACCCACAAAGTGGCTTAAACTCATGATTCTGGAGACTAGAAGTCCAAGATGGAGGTTTCCGTATGATCTGTTTCTTTTAAGGGTCTTCCCTCCTTGGTTTATAGAAAGCCACATTGTTTGTTTCTTCAAATAGACTTCCTCTGTGTGTCTATCCTCATTTCCTCTTCTTGTAAGAATAATAGTCGAATTGCATTAGGGACCACCAACATGATCTCATTTTATCCTAACTACCCAATTTCCAAATAAAATCACATTTGCATGTGAATTTCAGGGGCATAATAACCCTGGGCATGTTCAAAACCCTATACATATATGTGGCCTTCTAGATGCCAAGAAATATATGGAGCTTATATATTATTCCATTGTTTTTCCTTTTAAGATTTTGGTTAGTTTGTTGTTTGTCCTTTTTACACAATTGACTTGAAATTAAAAAATTGTCTTTAAATGTTTTTGATAAATGGATCCAGAAAAAAAGTCCTTTTGCAGTTGTTGAGTTCTAAATTAGGTTGAATAAAAATAACCTTGCAAGTGAGTTTTTCTAGAGAACCTCCAGAAAGGACTAATAATGACAGTTATAGTGCAGGGTGTGTGTGTGTGTGTGGGAGTGTGGGGTTGGGGTGCTGGGGCATGCGGTTGTGGGGGTGAGAGAAAGAGAGAA